GGTGAGTGATAAGGGGATCGTTACTGCCAAGCCAAGCTACAGGGATTCTGTAAATTTATCTTCATAAGTAAAAGTATCTGGGTTGCATAACATCCCCTGCTTGTACGTGCAGGGAGGAAGGTGCCCTTGGGCCAAAGTAGGCAAATAATCTCTGAGAGCATTCATGCCTTATCTGGTCTCCTGAGGCAGGGCTGCTTTTGCTTTACTCCATGCTCCTGTGTATGGACAGACACATATCAGGGTAGACAAGGCCAGCTGACTTGGGTGGAAACACTGCGCACCCATCAGAGTAGCGAGTTCATCACCTCGCGAGGGCATCTAAAGCCGAGGACTGGTTCCAAAGCAGGAGCTGTCGGATGTGCTGTTGGCATCTTTCAAGACAATAACGCGGGTTCTGCATAGCACAGAGGGGGCACAAAGTGTCTGGCAGTGCCTAGAGCTTGGGGCTGCCCGGATCTCCCTGGGCTGAGCCGAGTGGTCATTGCGGGGGTGGCTGGGGATGCGATGGAGCTGCAATGGCGGCAGGGCCTTCCTGGACTGCAGTTGTGTGTTTGGGACTCATACTTTGAGAGTGGTACCTCTTTGGTTTACATAAACATTATGCTGAAATACTAAAAGACCAAAAATAGAAACTGAGTTCTCTCTTTGTTGTCACTGTTGGGAAGCCAGGCTGCTTTGAAGCTTTAGCTTTTCTGTAACTGGGCATTAATGCTGCAGTGCAGGGTTCTGACTTCAAAGGGTATAAGCTGACAGGTCTGACTTTGAGGAGCAGAGCTGAGGACTCTTATCTTCCACCCAATTTTCAGGAATGCACATAGATAAAAGTATCAGAAGCCAGGATTAATGTTGTCATATAATGATTATGAATTAAAAGAGGGGACTCTTTTTTGAAATGTGTTTGGTATGGTTTGGGCCAAAGGATTTAAAAGGTTCTGTGTAGGCTTTGCAGGGTATCAAAGGAGCTTGATACTTGAAGGCTATGCACAAATCAGTTTGGAGTCATAGCTGTCTTCAGCCAAGCATGTGATGATGTGTTTGGGGAATAAAACAGCCTTGACTTGCCTTTCTTGGGCATATGTTAGTACTGGCCAGTACTGCCCCGGGCACTTTCGGGGTGTGCTGGGAGGGACTGTTGTCTCTGGCCCTTGCTGCAGTAATGTGCCCTGAGCCCCGGCATGGCAGGTAAGGGTCCCTCAATGCAGTGTGGTTTTGCTGAGGCTGCTGGTGGGCATGCTGAGGCCAGCCGAGTGGGCATGCTGTGCTTGTGGTTCCATGCATCTTGCTCACGCAGCCTCCCTCTTCCCTTCCCTTCTCCACAGATCCAGTCAGAGGAAGTGCAGCTTGGGGAAGCCAGACCAGAGGGAGCTGAATGAGAACCTGGCAGCAACGCAGGGCTTGGCCCACATGATAATGGAGTGCAACAGACTCTTCCAGGTACGGCACTTGCTGTAGCGAAGCGCACGCCCTGTGCAGCCTGACGTAGTCAGCCTGCTTGGAGCAGTAGTTTCAGCCAGAGCCTGCAGAAGTCCCTGCCAGCCCAGCTGCTCCTCTGAGCCTGTGATAGGTGTGAGTGAGTCCAGCTGACGCCCATACAGAGAAAATTAATGTCACTGCAGATTTTACTGCAACTATTTGTAAGGGCTGCGAGAGCATTCCTCCATTTCTCCCTGTAACCCCCAACTGCTATGGGCGTTTGACTCCTTGGGCTTGAGGCCAACTTAGAGAGTACCTGTGGGGCCCAGGCTGCCATATGCTCTTGGCCAGGGCCAACCATCCCTTCTTGTGGGAGCGGGTTGAAGTTGAGGTTTTGCTGCTGGGCCAGGCTGGAGCAACAACAGCTCTGCTTGTACCTGGCCATGGACCCCCCCCCTAATCTGGACCTGGACCTTGACCCACAGACTGACTTCCCGGCTTGACCTCAGTCTTTCCTCGTCAATATGGACTTGCCTGGCGATCACTGTGGCTGTCACTGGACCTGATCCTGTCCTCCCTTGCTCACTCACCTTCCCGGCTCAATCTCAGACTGCGTCACCATGGATGTGGCTGATCTGGACTCGTGGCTGACCCTGGCTGCCATCCCTGGCCCTGCTCAGGTACTGTGGGACCGGGCGGCTGCCCTGCCAGCCCTGTTACCCTACATGACTCCCGGCCCCTTTCCCTCAGTGGGCCACGGGTCCTTGGTGCACCCCGACAGTCAGCTTGGGCCTTCGTATGCTCTGCTCCAGCACCAGGGCAGGGCAGGAGCCAATGCCCCATCCGCTCTCCCCGTGACATCCATCCCCAACCTGGCCAGGGCTCCTAAGCGACCCCTTCACCCCCTCCCCCCCCAGCCCAACTGTGTGTCCCCATTTCCTCAGGGGGGGTGGCCTGAACCCCTCTGCCCCTTGGGGTGCCCTGACACCTGCCCCACACCCGACAGTCAGCCCTGGCAACATGGGAGCTGGCCCCATCCCTGGCTGCATGGGCCCCGGAACAGCCCCCCAGGGACTCTCAGCTGCCCCCCTGGGACCCATGGACATCCTGCACGCTCCTGCTACGACCAGGATGCTTCCCAACAAGCAGCGCTGATGCCGGGCTGTCAGCTGTGGGGCTGCTCCTCACCGAGGGGCATGGGGCCCTGCTGGGGGGCCCCCTGCCCTGCCAGGGTTTGGTGCTGGCACCCAGGGACTGCCTGGAGAGGGCTGTCCGCCTTCTGCCGGCAACCTCGAGCGGAGACCATGCCCATGCCTGGACACGCACCCGCTGCTCTGGACCCCAATGCTGGGCCCTGCCTGGTTGCTGCAGCCATCGCTGGATGCTGTTACTGAACCTGACCCTGCCTGGCTTGACCTCGCCCCACACCTTGGCACTGATGGATGCAGCTGTGACTGGGACTCTCGGTTGGTCACCACTGCCATTCCCAGGCCTGCCCTGCATCTCCCTCAGGTATGGTGGGATGGGGTCCTGGCTGGTGAGGCACTGCCCAGCCCTACTCCACAGTACCTGACCCCCCCCAGCCGCCAGCCCCTGCTGCTCCCTGACTCCACGGTGGGTGCTATAGAGGGGCCCGGCCTCCTGCCTGCACCCAGCCCACCCTTGGCAGGAGGGAGTGCATGGCCATGGCCACGGCAGGGTTGCATCTGTGTGCACAGATGGCCAGGTAGCACAGACCATGAATAGCTTTGCGCATCATAGTATTCTTCCCCATCAGCACAACAGCCTTCCCACGCAGGGACATACGGTTTGGGCAGCTGGTGAAGCCCCCAGCCCCCAGGCTGTCACGCTGTTGCTAGTGTGGCACCAGAGCTAGCTCTAGTTTTGATTGCAGGCATTGGTCAGCCATCCAGCAGGAACACATTTGCATAGATGAGTGCTTCTTTAAGTAAAAGTCAGTGCCAGACCCATGCCCCCCCCCCCAACAACTGTCTATGTGGGAAAGGACCTGCGACATCAGATAAATAGATGTGTGTCTTTTTTGTATCTCTCTCCATACATGTAGATGTATATATACACACATATGCATACACCAGTGAGCACCTAAATCCAGTGCAACACCTACTCTCTAATGGTAGCAAAGCCGCATTTCTGTGCTGCTTTACCTTGCACAGTGGAGCTTCTGACAAATCCCAAAGGCAGGAGCCATGGCCTGCTGCCTTCTAGTTGGCCTTGTGGTTACTCAAGACCGACATGCACCCAGCAAAGAGGTTTGCCAATTCTGTAGGGATTCAAAACACTGCTGCTGCAGGGAGAGGCATTTCCCTTGTGTCATCCTCTGAGGGAAAGTAGTTAATAGATCTGCTCCTCCCCTGGGCTTCCTGCTCTTCCAGGCAAAACTGCTGCCTGCCCACGCCAGTGCTGCTGGCAGCTGGTGGTACTGCTCCCACAGCATACAACCGAACACTGCTGTCTTCCGAGCAGCGCTCAGGAAACCACCCCTTTTTTTGAGGGCTGATAGAGGTCACCTGCACAGGGCAGCGATGCAGATGTGTGTTTCCTTGTAGATGGTACGCCCCGCAGCCTGTACTCCAGTGTCCTGGTAAGCGTGTGCTGCTTCACACCTCCCTGCTGTTACATTAAGGTTCAGTCCTTGAGTGTGATGTGTGATCTCTTTTGCAGGGACCTGACTGTTGCCTTGATCAGCTCACTAACAACTTCCATGGGACAAGCTAGGCTGGGATGAGACCCCTTGGCTCCCCTGCAACCTCTGTGCTCTGCTGAGAGATGCCAGAGATGCCATCAAATGCTGGGTGATCTGCTCACACCTGGCAAATAAGGTAAAGAGGATGGTGGGAGTCATCAGCATAAGATGGGCTCTGGGAGTGTGGTTGGAGGGTTTCCTGGAGGTGCTTTTGGGTGTTCTGAGTTCTCAGTCCTTAAACTCTGCAGACTGAAGCAGCGCAGCCCTGGGCATGGACCTGTGGGGTTTGTTTCCTCCACAAAAAATTGTTCTGAGCTTTGCCCATGGCCCTTCTTGTCTGCCATAGAGGCTTCTGTGGCTTCTGAAGCCATGCTCCTGTTCTCTCCCTTTTTTACTTTTCTTCCTCCCTCCCCCCCCTCCCTTCTTCCCTTACTCCCTCCTTGCCTTTTGTTCCTTTCTCTCCTAAGGGTGTGCTGCTCCCCTAGAGCATCATCCCTTATCACAACCCCACCCCAACAGACACAGACACCTCTGGTTGTTTAGTCCCTTTATTGTCACCCCCACAGGGAACAGCTACATCCTCTGCACAGGCTTAATCCCGAGGATGTCGAATCCTTTGGCCATGATGGTGGCAGTGGCTTCGCACAGCAGCAGCCTCCACATGTTCACCTTCACGATCTGGCCTGCAAAACACCAACAGAGGAGCTGGAGCAGCTGCTCAGAACAACCCCATCTGCGCGCAACCTGGCCCTGGGGCTGGGCACACTGAGCCCCCTCCCGTTCTCCCCAAGCCAGGCAGACTGACCAGCCCTCGTGTCTCCAGGAGCCTGGCTGCTCGCAACTCTACTCAACCCTCCTGCTTCACAGGACGGTGACACAGGCTGTGCCTGCCACCTTCAGTCCTCCCACATGGACAGCACTTGTTCTGCAGCAGCAAGTAGTGTGACAACAGCCTTCCCAGCACAGGGAAACATCCCGCAGATTGCCTGTACCATGGTATGTGACACGGGCACACGTAGCACCACTAGGCCAACACTCACCACTCTGCCTGTCCTTCTCGACGCAGTAGCAGTTGTCGTAGAACTCGGTGAAGGTGGTGGCCAGCTCATAAAGGTAGTCACAGAGCGTGTGCAATAACAAGTCCTCCAGGATCTTCTGCAGGATCTCAGGGAACCTCAGGATGCACTTGCCCAGTTTCCACTCCTTCTCATGGTCAAGGATGAGCACCTCCTCTCTGGCTGCCTTCCGCAGCATCTGCTCATCAATATTGGCCAGGCGAGCAATAGCCCTGAAATGACCCAAAACACAGTCTGCTTGTGAGGGTCCCGCTGCTCCACCTGCCCCAGGGCCAGCCTGTGGTTGGTCACA